TAATGTGGACGAGAAAGATAATTATAATATTCTATAGAAATAATTTCCTATTGGTGATTCCTTTCCAGTCAAGGGATAAGTGAATCAGAATGATGAACGCTACTTGTAACTATCCGGGGCATATTAAGAAAAATTGTCAAAGTCAAATTGAAATTTGTCGTCGATGCGGAGGAGACAGAAAAAACGTGAGCGATCATAAAGAATGTGTAATAAAATGCCATCATTGTATGAGTGATGATCATCAGTCGACTGATTATAAATGTCCGCGAATTGCAGCGTATCGTAAACAATTATTAATGGAATTAAAAAAACGAGCTGAGTTGCAACAACGTGATTTTCGTGAAATAAGGGAAAACATGAATCCAAAACAGTGTTTTCTCAGAAATGCCGAAACATAAAAACCCTTTTTTACCTTTAGGTGATGCTCAAAAGAATTTATCTGTCTCAGTTTTGGATGCAGAATTTCGTGCTCTTTGGAATGGTCATCTAAGACTTTTTATAACACAACGTGGAGCTTTAGAAATTTGAAAAAATAGGAATTTGGCTTGGAAAGTTGCAACTTTTACCGGGTGCAGTTTGTTCTCTCATAACTCCGCTGCACTTCACTTTAAAAAAGTTATTTTCACACGCTTTTGTAGAGAATTGAATGAGAAATCTTTTGGAAAAATATTTGGATCGGTAGGGTGAAAACCGGCAGAGTTATAGGCAAAACAAAAAAGTCCGGTTCTTTATGCGCCACCTGTTAGGTGATCAGGTTTAGCATTAACGAATTTGCTAATTCATGAATCCTGAACTCTATATAACAATCTGATCCCATAATGTTTAAATCACGAACTTATAAAGCTCTAATTCATATTTTTCTCTCTTATAGCTGTCACGATTCTATCGACCGTGTCCAGTTTTAACACGAATGTTAAAACTCCATTGTACATTTTATGTTGCTCAACAGCATTTAATTCAAGCGCGTGCTCTCAATTTCAACGTGGTCAAAGATGGCTCAACGG